TTTTAATTAGCTTTTTGCATAAATATAACTGCATTATCAATGCTTAAACTATTTTAAAGCATTGATGAGACAATAGCTAACGATTCAAAGTAATTTCAGCTAGACAGAGAAATCTCACTATTACAGAAAAACTGGAAAAGAAATCGGAAAATAAAAATAAATATTATCGATATTTTATTTGTGCTGAAATATTTGGTTTATTAATAAATATGCTACTCACGTTTAAACTATGTTGTTCAATAAATATATCTTTCCGATATGTTGATCATTTACTATGAATAACAGATAATTTTCTCTTGAAAAACACTTTTCTTTTTTACAGGAAAAAATGTAGCCTCATCTTTTTATCACCAATGGATGCAAATGAAAGACTACCAAAATTAGTTACTAAATATTATTTTAAATATATTTTATATAAATCAGAACAGCATAGGATAGAAATTCTTTTTCATTTATGGTGAAATTTTTCATTATTATGAACCTATATAAAATTAAGTCATGGAAACTGAAGCACACCTAAATGCAAAAATAAAAAACCCAAATTCAAACATCCAATATTTATAATAAATAACCTAACCAAAAAATATACCCTACAGGAATTTTCTTAATGCATAAATTACACAATAGTTCAAAATTGCAGATACAAATAAATAAGACATCTAAAATTTGCAATTAATAACAAGAAGTATTTACTGCTTTTTAAAACATTTTAATTTACAACTGCTTAAATTATGAATCTTGTTTTTCTGTATCTTTCATATATTTATTTAAGTAAATAATTACAAATCTATTCAGTATTTTGATGACAATATTAAAGAAATCACATTTAGAAGATTCCAAAATCTATAGATTCCTATAACATAGGAATCCACAATTATTGATACAACATTTAAAAAATGAAAAATAATAATAATAATAATAATAATAATGCTGACTTTTAACATTTTTGGAAATACGTTTCATACTTTTTTTTTAAATATTCAAAAATGCATGAATTATGGATTACAATACTTAACACTATTGCTAATGTTCTCATGTCTTTTTACCATATCTAAACAATGCCCTTCTCTTTAGTTAGTATTTTTATGAACTCAATATTAAGATTGATTGGTTGAATATTGCTGATTGTTTAAATAATGAAGACTAAACACTCCAGGGCTCTCTGCCTGAAGAAAAGCTATGCCTTCATGCAATCTTTTGTCAGGAAAACTTGAGTATGGCAAAGCACTCTAGAGCTATCTGCCTATTAAATATGGTAAAAAATTATGAAAACCTCACGCAGCAGGTTTGTGCGCCGAGACTGCAACCCGGGTCCAATACGCATGTTTTATGAGGTTACCTAATGACGCATGAAGGTAGAGCCGAGCTTCTCCTTCTTCGGCTGTTGGAGGGCTCCTAGCAGAAGCATGTTTCACTAAAATCGATGTCCCGGCTAGCTACGTTGTACATTTTACAATCGAGATGAAAACGTTTCATTTAAAGTTGTGTCCCGCGTAAATTTTTTACAAAGAAGTGATTTTCATGGAAGTCAACCAATCAGATATCCCGAATTGAAAATTCGCGGAAATGTTTCTTTGGACGTGTTTGTTGAGGATAGTGAGTGTAGGTAGAAGATGCAATACCAGTTTATCCACCCAGCCACTGGTGGGCCAGTAAGTGGCTCCCTCCCCCATTTTTTGATAATTCCCTTCTCATGTTTGATTATTTTAATCGATTTAGGTAAAACACACAAAGGCTGTATGCTTAAGCGAGGAATGCATTGAAGGAGAACGTTCTGCGGAAAACTGGCTCATATGCAAATTATACACGGCTAGCTTATTACTGAAAGAGGCTTTAAGTTACACCGTACGAATTTCTTAACCAGGATCAAATTATGATGGTCTAGGGCAAGGGTAGTCAACCTTTTCTTACCTACCGCCCATTTTGTAAGTAGTAAAATTTCCTTACTGCCCACCGAACCGAAACTTAATGCAACTACAAAATACTTTTTTTTCAGTTCATTAAAAATATATGCAGTACAAAGTCCGTAATCCGGACGTCCATTATCCGGAATGATCTATAATCCGGACCTCAAACCACAAACGTTCTTTTTTTTGTATGCTTTACTCATGCGCGTAAAGAATGCGCAGACATTACGCGCTATGCTTTACACATGCGCGCGTTGAAAGAAATGTTTAATAAAGTAAACAAATAAATATTAAGCTCTTTTTTGTAAAATTTGATACCCTTTAGATCATAATTGCTCTTTATTTCAAAAATTACGGTTTCATATTTTTAATTGTATAATTTCTGCATGCCATCTTACCAGATTTTAATTTATGATCTATTATCCGGAAAAAACACTAATCCGGAATCGCCGAAGTCCCGACGAGTCCGGATTACGGACTTTGTACTGTAGTTAAATTTATCCATTTATTTATACTTTGGTATATATATATATATATAATAGACAGAAAACCTTTTTTAAAAATAACGAAGTGTAAATATATGGAAACTGGAGAGCGTTGCGCGCGAGTTAAACTACCAAGTAGAGATGTAAGCTTTCACTTGTCTATCTGTAATCCGTGTATACGTGCGTGTGTTTCTACCTTCCTTGATCTTCATCATCCGATAAAAATTTCTACCGCTAACTGTGAAGGCTTAAACCCTAGGGTGACCATCCTGAAGGCTTTAGGAGCCTCATTCTTTCAGGGCCTCAAGTGCTCAATTTATTTTATACAAAATAAAAGGAGGGGGATGGTCGTGAATTAAAGTATGCTTTTCAAGCCTCTTAGGGAAAAAAAAATGCAACCTTATGCTGCATTTATTGCAGGGGTTCTCAACCGTGGGGCATTTCTTAATGTCAGAGATAGATTGAGGTCAGCTTTTTATTTGCCTGTTAAGTAATTAATTTTACTTTATGACTATAAAAAAAAACTACTTTTGTTGAAGTTTTGGTGTGTATCAACATTTTCTATATACTTTTTCTTATTTAATTTACAAAACTCATTAAAAAATAATCTGAATTGAAATAAGTGTATATACATTTTTCGAGTTTTGGAAAGAAACGGGGAGAATGATGAAAGGATAGCATGGGAAAAAAAGGTTGCGAACCCCTGATTCAGTCACTGCTTAAGATAGTACCGGTCCATGAATAACCGGAATTTTAGCGCATTTGAAAATTCCATACATATTTTCCTTCAAAATCAACCACTGTATAATTTTGTTTAGCCTTTATATTATTTGAATTCTTTTATTGCTTAATTTATTTCAATAAAATCAACTTAAATTTTAAGAAATACAGTCTCAAAACTTTATACTACCTCAAAAAAAGAATTCATAATTAAAAGAAACATTATATAAAAAAGTACAATATTTTACTTCTTTTCTTAAATAAAAGAAATGCCTATTGTTACAAACTTATAGACACAAATTTTTATTTTGTTAAAATTAAAATTTAACTCAAAACGAATTTCAGTTTCCAAACCTCTGCTTTGGCATTTGTTTTTGGAATGTAAAATAGCCTGAGAAGAAAAATATTATTTACAAATTTGATTAAAAATTATAGTATCAAAATATAATTTAATTAAAAAAATAATATAATTTTTTTAAACGGAAAAAGAAAAGATAATTGCAAAAATTCTCCATAATTAATCAATTTTAATGCAACTGATACAGCACACAGTAAGCAGGTTTAGAAATCTGCATTCAACCTGTTACATTAGAGTTTCTGAAACTGTGAGTCGCGACCTGCAGGGGGTCGCCAAAAATTTTAGCAGTTTTGATATTTCTTTAACTTATTATAATGATTTTACAATTACCAAATATTTTTACACAATGTATCTGAAAATAAATAAAGATCAGACAATACATTCGAAGAAAAAAACGAAAACGTTTCGACGCATTCTTTTTATAATATAAACGTTCATTTTCTTTGCTTTGCACGTGACGCTGTCATTTCGTCTGTTACTTATTTAAAATTTGCCCATTGTCCTATGTGTTAAAATTAGAAATCTAAGTTAATGACCTAAAACTGCAATAGTATATTACAGTACAAGTGAAAAAACTGACAGTTTCACTCACGCATGTGTCGGATTTGCGCAATACTTACGGAGTCCCACAAAATTTTTGTAAATATTATGGGGTCCTGGGGGTCCCGAAAAAATCTCAGTGATAAAAATGGGTCGTGACTGAAAGAAGTTTAAGAAACTCTGCATTAGACCATTGCATTATTAGAAATATATTTATTATGGTACCCACTAGAATAAAACAATCGTTACAAAATGTTGATTAGAAGTATATATAATTTTTTTTTTAAATGACTAATGGAATACTGATTCAGAAATACAATTTTATAATATTGATGATAAAGGAAAAATTTTAATTCATTATATGCTATTATACTGTCTATTTAAATTGGACGCTAATTTATTAAAAATCGAAAATACTTCAAATATTAAAAAAAAAAAAAAAAACTGCAAATAATTTAGCCATTGATAGTTTAGCGAGTTATTTTACCATCGATCTAAAAGGCAATTTTATATTGGTTATTTTCGAAAATTAATTACATTATATATCCGGACACCTCCCAAATTTACTAAAATATTATCTTCTTTTCCAGAATTTAATATTCTGAAGCGACCACTACAATGATCACTCGAGTGAAATTAATTTTTAAAATGATTTTTGTTAGTGTAAAGATAATAATGTACTATAATTTATTTCTAGGGTAACAATTTTATTGCGGAACATAAATGTTCTCACGTAAAAATATAGCTAAAAAATTGAAATAGAGTATTTCTCCATTATAATAGTTATAATTAAAAGAAAAGAAATAGATAAATCATTGATAAGTTTTCCCCTTATGTAAGTTATACTCTATGCGGAACTAGAAGGTAACGGAATGATAAATCGAAATAAATAATTGTATACTTCCCAAAGTCATTTGTAAGTTAAATTCTTACAAATGACTTTGAGAAGTAAACTAACATTCAGAATACAAATTTAATTTATAAACTTACTTCCCAGCTGGGTCTGGAAGTATTCGGTTCCTCCGGCCAACACAAATCTTCGGACATACTCGTAATAGTTAGCCAATTGGCCCTGCGAGGATCGGACACTGATTCTGTCAACATCGTTCACGCTTTTTTTTCTTGATGCTAAGCAATCACTGACAAAATAACAGAAGTCACATACACAGGCAGTTCGTTTTAAATTCCATGAACTGCTGGTTTCAACACGCTTCTCCAGGGCATCACACACTACCGCTCTGACGATTCTCAGTGTTTTGGTAAAGCAGGTGCTTTCAGTAGGGTTACCTCCTTTCTTATCAGCACGTTTCTGTCGCCAAGCAAGTGCTTGGAGTGCGTGTATGTCGCCAACAATGAATGAAACTCATCTTCAAGATAAAAAAGTAGATTTTTTATGTCAATATTCCGTATACTTTTAGTTTATACGCTGTTTTATGTATATTCCATATCATACATTGTAAATATTTTTTAACTTTGTTCTTCAAAGGGAAACGAAATGATGCAAGCAGAAAGAAAGTCGGAAAAATACAACACATCGTAAAAAAAGTATATATTACGTTAACAAGTTACTTTTTTTAACAAAAAAGATTTTACATTGTTCTTTGATTCTTAGCTGAATATTTCAACAATTGAAAACACCGCTTTTTGAAACTGTTTTCACTCCCCCCATCGCTTCCACTTTGGGTGCACAAAAATGCTTTTCTACCTTTTCGAAAATTGTGTAAGTCACAGTGAAGTAGGGGCAGAACCATTATCTGTTTACCACATATTCTTCCTCTATAGTCCTTATAGTAGATTTAAACTAAAACTAATTCGGAAATCCCTAAAAGCTAACAGAAAAAAAGAAAGAAAAAAATTGCAGTTTTCAATGAATTAATACATTGAAATGGCGTTAATAAGACGAATGTAAAACGTAAGATCGCATGTAACGCTTTAGAGCGTTAATTGCCAAATTTTATAAGCCAATTAGAAGATAACGTAAATGACAAATATATTTCTCATTTCAATTTTTTTGCCTCCAAATTATCCATCCAGAAAATGTTACACCAGGACTGTAACTTACAGAAAATTAGACCCATAAATATGCTCCCAAGAAAAAGTTGAAGAAAGTTTTCGAAAGCTTCATCAACAGCGAGCTAAATATATTTTACTAAAGAAACCGAGCTTATTAGTAATACCCAGTTAGGAAACGGTATTCAGCACAATTCCAAATTCTATGCATTGTAGTTGTGCGTTATATTAACAAAGCAGCTAATTCTATACAATGTGGTATATAGGTATATTAGCGAAGCAGTCGAGAGACATAAATATGAAACAAGCATAAAATGAACTCATTAAATTTACATAAATCTATTTTACTTTCTTTTAATATTAATTTTCTTGTTGTTGCATGGTTGTTCGTTATGGAAAAGATCCGTTTAATTTTATAAGGATATTTATTTCCTTTTTATACAATTCTTTTCAATTAACTTAAAAACATCATTTTGTTTTTCTACTTAAATGTCCAAGGCTATATTTGAACTGCAATTGAATATCACTTATTTTTTATGAAACTCTTTAGATACTTTTTGTAATGTGTTACGAACGGTTGCAACTGCAGTATTGTATGTACTGTTACAAAGATGCTATATAATTTCTCAGTAACTTTAATAAAAGTGTGGTGTGCACCCCACATGATTCCCTTGTATGAAATATGAAATTATACGCATTTTTCCTGCATTTCATTTAAACTTATTTCCTCGAATTTCATTACATACGTATTTCTCATTCAATTAATTCAGTTCTCACTTCGCGGCAAGGCGAGTCGAGAGACATAAGTAACTCATTAAATTAATAAACCCATAAAGACATAATAAACTCATTAAATTTATATAAATATATAAAAATTCAAAATATCTTCATTAAAAATTGAAGGATACAGAAAAGCTCAAGACACCAAATACAGTTAAAACAATTTTTACAATTAAGATTAGGGTTTCTGCGCAAAAGCAAGCAAATCGGCCTGTAGGTAAAAAGACAGATTTTTCAGTGCACAAAACTAAAAGTTTCTTTTTGGTCTCACTCGGCAAAAATACGCTGAAGTTGTAGCAAAAATTAATTCACTATTCTGCTAATTTTCAAATGTAAACAAATATGGCTGCTATAGTAAGAAAAACTAGGCTTAGCAGCACTTAAACAACGTTTAAATTGTTGATAATTCTGCAACTATTGCATGCAGATTAACTAAAGACATAAAAACCTTAACTGGAAGATAAAAACAACATAAATCAATCATTTTTAAAGCAAAAATACGCAATTTACCAATATTTAAGAACAAAAAAATTTGATGTGTACACCACATGACTTGTACGGAATATTAAATTATACGCATTTTTTCTTGCCCTTTCATTTAAACTTATTGATTGAATTAAATCTACTTCGTCGATAGCGTATAAACCACAATAGGATAAATGCGCTCATTAAAATTCACTATATTTGTTTACCATAGCGAGACTTTGGCGCTAGGTTCACTTAACAGAGTTACATTTCATTCATATTATAACTCAGAATGCAGCTTATCGTTGCCACATGTTCTATTCAAATACTATAATAAATCTAAAACGATGTATAAAAGAAGTTAAGCAAACAAAACAAAAAAGAAACAATTTTTCACAGATGATTCAGTTTTTCTCATTCAAGATAAGGCAAAAATACATAAAAACTCAACATATCTATATTAAAAATTACGAAGTAAATCTTAAACACTTATTTCCTCGAATAAAATCCAGAATGGATTAAACATGATTTAATTCGTAATAATAAAAGCAGGCGTTAACTTTTTTTGTTGCGAAGCTTAGTGTCTCTAGATTGGCAACAAATCCGCTATTTTGCCAAGTTTGAAATGTAAACAACATGTCCGCCATCGCAAAAATAATTAGGCTTAGCTGCATTTAACAGCTTTTAAATTGTTGATAACTTCACAAATATTGCATGCAGATTTACTAAAAGCATAAAAACCTTAACCAGAAGATAAGAACGGCATAATTCAATCATTTTGAAAGCAAAAAATGCACAACTTACAAACATATAAGAGTAAAGAAACTGAGATCACTAAGCCGGGTGAGAGTGGATATATATATTTACAATTGAAATTTTGTTATTCATGATTTAATTCAAGTCCCCGTTAAGCATTTTTAACAATTTATATTCAAGTCACTTTAAAACAATTTTCGAAATTGAACTTACTAACTATGGATTCACTCTTTTAAAAAAATTCTACTAAAATTAATCTTAGGAGATAATATAATCAATATTTCTTTAGTAAATAAATTATTATGTATATATATATATATATATATATACATAATAATTTTTATATATCATATTACTTTCAAATTGCTTCAAACATATCTTCAAATATAACTTACCAGTATGGATTCACTCTTTTAAAATTATTCTACTTTAATTAAACTTAGGAGATAATATACTCAATTAATGAATATTATTTAGGAAAAAATAAATTATAATATATATATATATATATATATATTATATACACATGTTTATATAAGTTTGGTAAGGCCTATTGCAACCCAAATACGAGGTGCACATCTACCTGTTATATGAGTCCTACATACAAAATTTCAACGTTCTGAGGCTACTCGTTTTTGAGTTATGCGAGATACGTATGTAAACTTAACTTACTTTCTGTAAGAAATATTCTTCACTTACCTTAATAAATATTTATTCTCCCATTACTTACATACCACTTATACGATACAACTGAAAATACAAATTACTATGTGCACTTCAGGGGGGAAAAATTACCCTTCAAAAATACTCTGTTGTTGCCACTCTGGAAAAAAATATTTTTTTTTTTTAAAAAAACACCGTTTACATTCGGGCATTCTGATTTTGCTACGACCTCGGAACATTAAGAACTTATACTTAAAAAAATTAAATCTGTAATATTAAAATTTATAGTTCGAAAGTCTTTAACTGTCATACACACTAGTAAAATAAATTAAGAGAATTTGCACATTTTACCGAAGTTCATGAAAAGAACTGAACTGAAGGAAAAACCACTGCTTCTAGATAAAACTAACCTCCTTGTCTTGTACGGCAAATACGTTAGAGTACACGTGTGTGTAGGCGCAGCCAGCAGAAAAACGGTCTTTATAAGCGCGTGGAGGGTAAGAAGAATTGCGTTCGCTAGCACACCTCGGTGAATTTCTTAGTGTTATCTTGCAGCAATCGGTTAAATTCACATCGGAACAGTAAAAATGAGTAATCACCAACGTTTAGGTGATGGAATGAGGTGTCGAATTGTGGGGAAGGCTGGAGTCAGGCCAATCGCAAGTCCAGATATGCAGAGAGTTTAATTTAACGTTCAGCGTCGTGTGTAATCTATGGAAAGAGTTCCAGGATACTGGATCCATCGAGAGAAAGCCTGGGCAAGGTCGTCCAAGAGCCACGACGGCCAGAGAAGATCGCTATTTGTCCATTTTAGCTTGGCGTAACAGAGGGGCTACAACTTCTCAGCTCTCTCGGGACCTGTATGCAACCACAGGAACCCGTGTAACAAGGGTGACTGTTTCCAAAAGACTGAATGAGAGAGGGTTGTACCAGACGTCCGCCTGTTTGCATCCCGCTCACGTTTACGGACAGGACAGTCTGATTAGCATGGTGCAGGCAGCATAGTTATTGGAGTACGGAGCAATGGGCAACCATTTTATTCACCGACGAGTCCCGTTTTAGCCCAAACACCGATTCTTGCCGTACTTTCATGGACCCGCTACCTACTCTCCAATGTCCTCGAAATCAACAGTTATGGCGGTGTAATTGTCTGCGCAGGCATCATGTTGGATGGCCGCACACCTCTCCACGTCTTTGATAGAGGCTCTGTGACTGGTGTGAAGTATAAGGATGAGGTCCTGGAGCACTATGTTCGCTTTTTCCGGGGTGCAGTGGGCCCCGAGTTCATCTTACAGGACGATAACGCGAGGCCACATGAGCTCTTCTGGTCGACGAATTTCTCGAGATTGAGGGTATTCGCCGGATGGATTGGCCAGCCAGGTCTCCAGACCTCAACCCTATACAGCATGTCTGGGACGTTCTGGGGAGGGCAATTGCAACTCGCCACCCACCTCCGAGAACCATGCAAGAACTGAAAACAGCGTTGCTGAATGAGTGGGACCAATTGCCATAGGCACTGATAAACTGCCTTATTTCCAGTATGACATCATGCTGCGAGGCCTGTCTG